ACCCGTGTCGTCCCTTTTTCTGAAGAATCGTGACTATACTCCCACCCTCGCAATTCGAAACTACCCTCCGGCCATTATTAGATTTGCCTGTTCAATAAAAGAATTTAATTCCACTTGTGATTTGACACTTGTAACGCAGTTGTCCACGTAAAAGGATTTTGCCAATTTATCTATAATATCTTTGGGCGCTAAATCTTGTTTTTGCATTTTTGTAGTTTCTGTAAAATGGTATTCTAGAACTGCCCCTAATAAGAAAGGGCTGCTCGTAAGGCCAAATACCATGTGCTTATGTCGTAAAACTATAAGCTTTCCCTCTGAAAACCATAAGAACCGTAAATAGTCGCGATCCCTCGGGTTAACTTCAATTTGAAGAAAAGCCTTACGAATATCACAGCTCTCATTTTCTCGAAATCTTAATAATGTCGCAGGAATTAGTTCGATTAGGTTTGATCCCTTCTCAAGGTACTGATTTAGAGAGGGGAAACCTTTTTCGCTCGCGAAGGCATCAAACACTGGCCGTACCGGAGTATGTAGTGCTTTCAGGCTTCACAACATGACGGCGAGGTAGATAGCGGGCTGAATTCTTCACGTCGCGTCGCCGTCTAGCACACGTTCAATTATGCCCTGATCAAGCCACTCCAAAAATATTTTATTATATTCATTAAAGAGACCATCTTTGTTTAGCTTTTTGACTGTACTACTGAATCTAATTTTTGCTAGTTCAAAGTTACACACAAGCGGTGCGTGGTCTTCGATCCGGGGCAAATCAACCGTATAACGTCCGTTTTTGTTTAAAGAGACTGTACGCGAAAAATTTTCTTTTACCCTCTGCGCGTTTGTGATTTGATCAGCCTTCTCGATCGGATCTCTTATACCTATAACATCCAATTTCAATAGGTCCGAAATATTCGCTTCGTTTACAAACATTGATAACTCGGTCAATGTGCAGTCTTCTTGATCTTTTATAACATCTACAAACGCTTTAACCGCAGAGTCAGTCTACTTAATTATAGAATTGCCACTTTAACACCACTTAACAATAACTCTAAGAGTACCAAAACTTCAGCCGCACCAGGAATAAACCTGTAAAAATTAACCATTCTCAGGAACCTTCGTAGCTGCTTCACCAAGGTAGGCTTCTCAAAATCCGCAATGGCGGCTACCCTGTCTGCTGGTGGCTTCGCTCCGTCCTTGCTAACCTGGTATCCAAGAAATGTCTCTTCATATCCGAACTTCGTTGCATCCTGCGTGATGCCAGCCACGTGAAACTGCCCTGCCACTTACGCGAACCATAGCGCGGGCTGCTCTGCCCAGAAGTGTGGAATTTTAACAAAAATCGTACTAACTTGTTCTTCTGCCATTTCTTCCCACAACAGTCTTACTTATTCTGCACTTAATTCCCGTCGAGGTCACCAATATGTGGGTGCTGAGTTAGAATAATCACCAACGGTTTAGTAACAATAACTTTTAATGTCGAATTGTATCCCTCAAAGGACGCCAAGTACAAGAGAGCGTCTCTCTAGATCACGCCATATACATATATGTATAGGCGTCGTTAGGTAGCGCGCTAGTCGCGCTGCCAACTCCGACTAAGAGAAATACCCTAATGCTGCTACAATACTATTGTAGCCTTAGCCACTTAGGCTATACCGGTACCCGTAAGATCACCGAAGTCAAGCTAAGTGGGCACGGTTTCGCCAAAAGATGAACAAACTTAGTTAATATGCACAAATATAATTGTGTACAGCATGATAATACAAGCGATCCGGAATCGTCTCAACCAAATTGTATACATAATGTTTGTTCAATAATTGCTTTCAATTATCTTATAAGTGTATAGAGTTCATGTTCTACTGTATTATTTTATTAATAAAAAAGGCTTGTACTTTACTGGGTAGTATTTTAATCCCTTTTTGTTTAAATATTCATTCGCTATTTATTTACTAATCTAACCATAACCTAACCGTTTAGTATTTTTATATAAAAAAATATGTAACCTAAGAAACTTTATTTTTCTGGGATTTCCCATCATTTATTTTTCATTCTCAATTATAGTTACTCACTACAACGTAACATATTGTAGCATAAGCATATTTTAATTAATTTAAAGTATAATAAATTTGCACTATCAAACAAACTTTGTGTTTAAATTTTTTCAAGTACAATGCGACAGTTGACTATTTCTTTTACATTCAGAATAGAATACAGAATTAGTAAAAAGCGCCCTCTCGTTTTCATCGGCCACCCGTATGTCTACGGGTATTACCATTTTTGTGCAGAAAAATCTGCTGTAATACCGACCGACCAAATCGGAGAGGTCGGTATTACAGCAGTTTTTTCGTTGGGCCTGGTGGAGCTACTTGCGTGGTCTGTTACGAACTTGAAAGGTTTAATTCTCAGCTAGCGTGCACGATCTAGGAAGGCGACAGCGCCTCAAGTATTTTTACAAACACATTCAAACGCTCATCTCGCCAGAGGCATCGCGACGATTCGCCTGAAGAACGAAAGCGAAACATTGGCGCGTGGTTAGAGTGAGATGTAGGGTGATCATGCTATCCTTCTTTCAACCTAAATGATAGAATTGTCCCGCTCTGGTAAATTCTGACTGACTGAACGCGTGAATTTTATATAGCGCACCGTAGCACCCCTCGCTGCTGAAAAATATATGCCTACTCTGAAGAACTGAAGGAACGTGCAATCTGAGAATTTTTTTAGAAAAAGTTATTAGCTTCTTTAAATAAATGTTTTTTAATTAATAAAAGTATACAGGATACGTCACACCATTGAGACAGGTTATATCTTGAATTTGGTAAGAGATAGGAAAAAGCTGTTCATGTAAAAGTTCAATGGTATGATAATGTTTATTTTTCTATGACTTCATTTTCTTCGTGAATGCAACGATGCACTAAAAAAATGCAGATGCACTTTTTGTTTAAATAGAATTGCATTTCTTTCTTTACTCGTATCAACACCTTGGAAAATTCTGGATAAAAAAGTAGTACTAGAACTCATAAATATAGGGACCTCGGCTCCTTCTCTCCTTCTCTCCCCTCGCTACTATTCCCCTTCACTATTACCTATCACCTATATCTAACAGTACAATGTTTAAAAAACTAATATTTCGTGAGATATCTCATATTTTTCATAAGACTGTACTGCACCTTCCTCTTTCAGATAAGCCCTCACCCAGCCTGAAATTCTCTCATATAAGGACGAAAAGTCGAATCCCGTAAACCCATGTTTAGGCCCATTTGTGCCGGTAAAGTCAACGCGCTACTATTACCCGTGTCTACCCCCTTAAGTGACCGTTACGTTTCTAGGCTCCCGCCACAATGGTATACTGCTCCACTTCTGCAGCTTTCGGAACGTCACCGTTAGACTTTTTTATGACCTTTTTTGGTTAATAAAATTTACGTTATTAATTCAAACATGATTAGTGAACTAAAAGTAATATCACAACAGTCATGATGAAACGCAGCTCTATTTATATAATGGAAAATTAAGTGAAACGAGTCTAACTTGTGAAAAAAGTCGAGGATTCACTGGAAGATAATGAAACCTGTCAAATTTTAAATACGTAACTGGTGTTTTATTTCAATTTGAAGATGTAGTGTTCCATTTAGGTAATCCTATAGCAAAGCTATACATATAAATTTTTCCTCACAAACAATGAGTTACCCCGCTATGAAGTTCCGATTCGAAGACACGATAGTTTTTTGTTTGTTTGAGTACTAACAAGAAACTAAAATACAAAATAAAAAAGAACACTGTTCTGATGCATCGGACATTATGAATCATATAGTGGAGGTAACTTGGGCGGAGAATACACATTGCTCGTACGTAAGAAGTTATACAGCTCTGCCCTCTAACAAGGGAACATACCAAAGTGTAAATCTCCGATTTTTATGAAACTTCGCTATAATGTAGTTTTCATAAAAAATATACGAATCGAATTGAGTAACCTCCTCCTTTTTCGAAGTCGGTTAAAAATATGTGGCACGTATAAGCTGATTAATTAGCAAAGTAACAAGAAGTCCCATTTAAACGTTTCCTTCTCGTGAGACTTTCCTTCTTGTTACACACATTTTCACACCCACGGCTGCAGCATGCACCCCCGTCAAGGTATCGATGACAGAAAAAGGTTTGGGCCCATTCATACTGGTGTGGCGGCGTTTCCTTTAAGTACACTAGCGAGAGAATCACCCTGTACATAATTTATGAAAACTATTTATAGCGAAGTTTCATAAAAATCGGAGATTTACACTTCAGTATGTACCTTTGTAACTATGTTCCTTATTTACTTTATTCGATTGTTTTAATTACACAGGCCTGCGATGAAAAAAATACAAGGGAATTGATAGCTGAACTTGATGTATTTTTTGGTGCTGATTTCAAAAAAATAATGAAAAATTTCTATCACGTCACGTTTTCTTGAAAAATTCAATTTTACTTGGATTTTTATGAACATTTACTACCATACAAAATTTTATTCGGCGTTAAATTTCTTCCCTCCCTGCCTGACCATCATTCTACCGTGGTAAAACCTATCGAATACCCCTCTGTGACACCTCCCTGTCGCAATCCCTCTCTACTAATAGCGTCGCTCGAATCCTTATCTCATCATTATCTTGGTTCGATTGCTGAATCGATTGCTGGAAAATCAATTTGCCTCACCAAGAATCGATTTATTTATTTTACATAGATTTAAATGGATAAAAACCACTGTTGCCAGATAGTACATGCAAAATTGTTTGCGAGAATTCCTTTTCAAATAGGATTTTAGCAAAAATATCGATATCCATTTTACAATAAATCCTGACGTGATAGAAAAAAATGGAGGTCATTTTCGAAATCAGCACACCAAATAACATAAAAATCAGCGAAAACTTCTCTTGTATTTTTCAAAAACTTCAATTTCGCAGGCCTGTGTTATTAGTATATTTTATATGATAAGAAATGATTTATAACTTACATTGTATTTTTTGATGTGTATAAACAAGATGAGCAAAGTAATGTCACCAATAGTGAAGTGAGTCGGATTGAACAAGAACTATTATTTACTTCATTGCTGAAGACAGAAGAAACGAATCAAGATGTTATAGAACAATATACGTTCCCAATTAATAATACTTATAGATCGCCTTTAAATAGGTAAGTACATAATTTTGTACCTGAAAATGGTATAATATTTAACATCCTTTTCTTTCGATCCATGAAAATGGGAAAGTAACACAATAATAAAATTATAACAAAATATTATGATATATCTCCATATTGTGAAGACTGTACCCACCCCTGCTGATCTGACGTTCAGTCGTCGGTGCTGGGCAGATTGTAGGTTTTAAGCGCTTTTTACTCGAATTTTTAAACGTTAATTACTGGAAAACAAAGTCCGAAAGGTTATTCCGTCATTCTTGATTTTCGTCTTATTTTGATCTCTAGAATCACCCCTTAAAATATCTCTTACCTGTTGTCGAACCTTCTGTAGAATATAAGATCAATTTACGATTGCGACAAATTGATGTGTATCCGTAGAGATCGGCATAGCACATAGAGATTTTCAAAATTAGAAGGCCTAGAAGAAAATGAGTTTGGATATGTATTTGTCTCGTTAATTGAATAAAAGTTAGCATAAGTGGTCGGAGGAAACTGTAATAAGTTTTTGTCATTTTCTTTGTGAAATTCGAAATGCGTCAAAACGACCGGTCCCGTGAACCTAATGTTTAAAAAAAGGAAAAGTTGAAAAAATTGTTGGATAGCATTATTGTTATCTTGCGCTTAAATAAATTCCCACAGTACTTTCTATTCAAGATAAAGTGTTTGCTTGATTGAAGAATCAATACAAGAGCTTATCTTATTATAGAGCAAAAGGTTTTCTAAAAATCGTTTTTTCAAATCATTTAATTTCTTTTTGTAACGTTTACTCTGATTTCGGAACACTAAATTTAAGAACGCGATAGAGTTGTTCAAATACTCGTACTGTCCACCATGATCCATGGTCAACAGGGGTCGGAAACTCCCACTGATTTTTTTGGCTTTTCAGTTTTAGTTCCCTGATGACGGACAGTACGTAGATAGCGCTACTACGTCGACAATCAGCGCCGCCTACATTGGCGTTGATTAGCGTCATTTGGCGTGGTTTGGCGTCATAGCGTCATAGCGTCCGTTTTGGTGGAGTCCAAATAATTAGTAATTATTAATTTATTATCGTATCCCTACAGGTGGCTGCTTTAAATCACAGATTTATGATTTAAAGATAAGAAATCAGCTAAATCATAAATCTCTGATTTTTAGCAGTCACTTTATGACTATCAAAAATTTCGTATTCTATATATGTATATATATATCTGAGAAGTACTATATATATCAGAGGCATATATAGTATACTTATATATATATATGTCTACTTTTAGTATGTACACTCATGACGGATGGTTAGTAGATGGCGCTACAGTCAATGCTAGACTTTTTGTAGAGGGGAGTTTCCGACCCCTGATGGTCAACTAACGCAGCATCCACTTTCTTTCTTTTTACATTTTTATTATCGTATACAACCAATTGAAAGCAGTGATTCAAATCCTTTTTCGGTATTTAACAAGCTTGTGTTGCGATTGTAATGAGATTTTATCTAGAAGTGTTGACGTACTGTTGTTAATATAATCTAAACTTCACCGTGGGAACTTATTCATACGCTGAGTAATTGTGTGTTCATTTCCACCACGAGCGTCAATATTTTATTAGCTTATTTCATAAGTGCCAACCATAACGTTGCATGTTTCATTAAGGAGATTTTTGCTTTCAGAAGATGTCCTTTGTGCGATAGCTCGGTCTATCCATATTGCGGAGAAAAATTATTGCACGATGCATGTTGCTGTACGGATTCCTATATTCATGATTTACCTCATCAATGTAAATTGGCGGATTGCCGATTTCTGCACGCAAATAGCTGTAAAGAACATCGATTGATTGCTATTTGTTGCTGCAATGACGACTATCGAACATTATTAAAAAATTTATCAAAGCATTTAAAATTATAATTGACGTAAAGGAATACTGTAAAACAAGTCGACGCGATAATTATATACTATCGGTTGTATGTTAATATCAGGAATTCTACTGCACGTGTAGATGAAAATTAAACGCAGTTGGAAATAAGATTGATAATTGTGTAACGCCTTTAACGTCAACCAAATGCGGGACGCGGTTATGAGTAAATAACGAGTTAATGATAATTATAATTATACCATTTTCTGTTACAAAATAGGTCATTAACGTTGCAATAAATATGCTGTCCAATTATCTACTGTAATTAGTCTTGATACTGGTTGATAAAATAACGTTTTAATAACTACATAAATATGCAATGATATTGTCTTCTTCTTCTCTCTTGTATCACTGTGTTATATACCATAATTAAATTTGAAAATCTATAGGAAAATTCGATACAAAATAATGATCCTATTGAGAAGAGTAGATCTGTTAATTACATACCTACATAATATACTTATAATTTCATGATATTTGAAATTATTTATTCTCTTTACTGTCAAACGTAAATAAAACTATTATTCACATTTGCCTCTTTTTTTAATTTTGCACATTTCTAAAATCCTGATAACCACATAATAATTGCTGAACCTTATGAGTTTATTTTAAATAAATCTAGTGTGTTGTATTTTAATAATATTTATGAGGAATGTTACGAACACACCTGACTTTAATGAAATTTTAGAGAGAGAAAGATGATCAATACATATTTTTTATTAGCCATTGTTCCATTTCAACAAAATGTAAGAGGCATTAAAGTTATAAGACTTTTAAACAACTCTGAATATAAATTATACAGGGTGTTTCATTTTAATCTTTACACTTGAATAGTAAATGCTTGCAGACAAATTACCAGACAAACTTTAGAACAAGTGGAACTGTCATTTAGAGATAGAATCCAGTGTTGCATTAATGTTCAAGGTCATCCTTTTGAATTTAGAAGATAAGAAACATTTTCTGTACGCGGAGTGTAAGAAAACTTCAAGCCATTGAAATGACCTTGAATGACATTTCAAGGTCAACATATTGTAGATCAATGGATTCATCTTGAACTCAGCTATGTGTCTAACGTAAAAAAAACACATTTCCATTTAAAAAACCAAAGGTCACCTTCAAATCTCGGAGGCGCCTCCATGTAAAAACAAACAGTGTCCACCATTGCATGTATCCCTTCGAATAGAGTATGTTTCGTTTAAACACTTTTTTCGAGAAAATCGCGTGTAAAGATTAAAACGAGACACCCTGTATAGTTATCTTACAAATTTTCAATTCATAATTGATGTCTTTTCAATATTACTTCAAGTATTTTTAGAAAAATTTCTTCTATTCAACATAATGAGAAACATTTTGTAACACATCCAGTCTGGGTTGACGTCACACCAGTTATACCAAACTAGTCAAACCGGACGACGTCCTAGTGACATTATTTGAGCTGCCTCGCTCAACACGCAGTTTCGATCAAAATATTGACCAACCATTACAATACACTTTTCAAACATGAAATTCTAGACTAGAAGAACAATATTTAGAGGCTATACGGGAAATTAAGAAAGAACCTGGAAGATTCTAAAAAAGGGTTCTATGGTTCAATTTTCTAGGGGGAGAAAAGGCGTTCTCTTCCTCATCTCGGGGATAGCCTACCAGCCAGACTCGTCAGGGGGGGCTGACGATAGACGATCCTTGCCTCAAACTCTTATAACACCCCTTTTCAGAACTCCTATACATATATCCGAATCGCATGTTGGGCGACCACCAGCGAGAACAGACTACAATCCCGCCATCTGTCGGTCTCCGACCCGAGCTAAGAGCGTCCAGGAAGACTCACCGCCCTCCCTTCTCGCTAAACGCTTACAAACTGCAACATTTTGTCACTTGATTTTCTCTGGGACGCCAAGGAAACTTTCGATTTTTATTCCGAGATGAACGTGTTAAGAGCACAGACTCCGAATCGATCTAACAATAAGCGCCGTTGTAAATAAACAGGCATTAGAAAAACAAATAATTGGTAAATTGGACATTTGACGATTTGACACCTAACGTCATTATGCAGAGTAACAAATAAAAAGTGAGAAGGCCTAGTTACCAAATCTGTCATGCTATTGCCACATCTATTATAATTTTATCCCTAGAGCCGAGTTTTTTTACGAGAATAAAACAATATGTATACTGAAGTGTGCAAGTGTGAGTCTTTTGTTCATATTTACAATATTTTTTTTAATAACGAAATTACATATAGAATATTTGAAATGGTATGTCGGAGAAATGAATTGTAAAATTTACACGCACACACACACGCACGCACGCACGCACGCGCGCGCGCGCACACACACACACAGATGCTAAAGTGTTACAATTCCTTTATTCCATAACTATTGATGATACAAAAAATTGTTTAAATAAAAGTTTTATGGTACTGTTCTGTTCCATCAAATTCTGTGTTTCAAATTGCATGCAAATCATAGTTTATGTTTTACATCTTCTACAACTAATAAATTGTGAAAAATCGAATTTCCATATTATGATAGTTTCGGGAAGAGTGGTTTGGTGTGATATCAGTGAAAATCATTAAATCGTCTAATATTTGCTAAAATGTGACTGCGCTAGCCATCTTGTTTGCTTACATCGGCATTTGTCTGAAGTTTACAGTTTCAAAAATACCATTTTTTTTTTAACGTATGGTGACGGTTTATTGAAGTTCAAAGGAACCAGACCAGCCTGTGGTGAAGTTTACCGATCTGTGTTGTACTCGCGAAAACTTCATTTAATGTAATTATTAGGACGAAAAACAAAAATTATCAAATCGAGTGTCTCTCTCGCATCACGCATATATATACATATGTATGTACACTGACAAGGGGAACTACCCAAGTGTTACACTCACTTATTAATGAAACTTTGCCAGCTTGTAGAGCTCGTCGAGCTGAACACGCCTATACCCCGTTTTGCCCGTTTTGTGGGCAGACGACTAATTGTTTAAAAGATATTAATAATTAAAGTTAGTTACTACTTACATTGAGAAGTATGACAGATTCACACATACAACTCGCAATCTAGAGATCCACGGTTCAAATCCTTGATTCCCAACATTTTTTTTTTTAATGATAATTTGTCTCTTTTTGAATAACTATTACATAAAAATTATCATAAAAAAAAAATGTTGGGAACCAAGGATTTGAACCGTGGATCTCTAGATTGCGAATTGTATGTGTAAGTTTGTCATACTTCAGAATGTAAGGAGTAACTAACTGTAATTGTTAATATCTTTTAAACAATTAGTCGTCTGCCCCCAAAAGGGGGTATAGGCGTGTTCAGCTCGACGAGCTCTACAAGCTGGCAAAGTTTCATTAATAAGTGAGTGTAACACTTGGGTAGTTCCCCTCGTCAGTGTACATGCATGGTTTTCGTTGTTGTGTGACTGCACAGATATACAATTTATGGTACAAGGAGTCTACCGCTTTAAAGAAGAAACTACAGCATTTGGGAAACAAAACAATCGAAATGTGCAAAAATAGTATTGATCATACCTTGCCGGCACGTGTAGACGAGTACGCAGCTGTCGCGTATTATAAGAAGACTTGCCTTCGGGCATTCCTCGAAACTCAGGTTTCTGACACGTGGAGTTCGTGGTTTTGAAGGTGTATTGAAATACACGTGCCCACGGGACACGTGTAATGTTTATAAGTTGTTAAGCACATTAGGAAAATTACAAATTAGAATATATAAAATCAGCAGTGATCCGAACTTTCTTTTCAAGATGTATTATTATATAAGTAAATTAAGAGGTTTTAAATAATAAAAATTAAACAAAAACTAAACATTCTCTTATACATCTTGAGAAACTGTTTGCAATTTATCGTTTTGTGAAGTGGCTCCTACTTAAAAAATCAAACGTTCGTGATCTTAATACACGTATACGCAAATTATAAGTACACATGCACATTTAATTAGAATACTTATTTAGGTACACGTGTGTACATTTAAATACACATGAAACAAAGATCGCTAATCTTTGAGATAAAATCTCATCGTGTTCAGCTATGCCTCGAGGCATGCCTCTAGTCTCCTAAGTCTCCTAGGAATCTATTGACGTAGTTTTCGCAAAGTTCAATGAAATTTCGTATGATTATATTTCTATGCATGAAATGAACACATCTGTAATTTTAAGCATAAATTGACAACCAATTATGAAAAGAATGGATTTAAAATTTAATTTTTGGATTAAAATTTAACAGCATACTGTTAGATATGTATTGATACAGGAATTAATAATGAATAAAAAATGATACATTTATAACGAAATACGCAAATAATTTTTATTACTTCCATAATCATGGCATTTAACATTAATAAGTCTGAAAAGAAGATATTTTGAAGTGGAAGCGAACCTAAGACAAAAGATTTAAAACTCTACATATATCACTCTATATATATCACAGTGCAGACCAAGAAATTGCGTTCTTATTACTTGTGGAAATATTGCATAAAGTGGATAAACAAATATCTCTATTGTAGTTTTATTTGAAAATCGAATGCTCTATGACGAATACAGAACCACTTTGACTCATAACAATAACATTGTAATTGTACACAAAATTTAAACTAATATTTACTTATAACAAAGTATATAAACGTCTGAGGGAGTACACATACGAATATATGTAAAATATGTACTAGGTCAAAATCATCCTGCGTTCGATGTGCGAACATTAAAATGTAAATTAAACTCATCGTCAATCATACGTTAAGTCAATAAAAGTTAATTAACCTTTATATGCCAGACCATTTTAAACCGGAATACAATAAAAATTGGTAAACACTGTTTCTTTTGATACAAACAATTCAAAGATTCGTAACAGAAGCACAGCAAATGATTTATTAATAATACTAATATCATTAATTAAAAAAAGGTTGCTAAACAACCGTTATTCATCTAGATTTGTTCAAATGACAAATAATAATTATTAGTATTTTTCATTTGAACTTCTAAATATCAAATAACTTGTTATATTTATGATAAAAAAAAATCGTAAAAACAGTTTGTGGTTAGATAAATGGTAAGTGAATGAACAGTTCTCTCGAAATGTGAAACTGCGTTCCAAAGCAATGTATTGCACAACCTAATGGAAGGCGCCAATGGCAAGAAAAATGTAAATCGTAGTCTGTGACGATTTCCAACGATATTTCATAAAGGAATTCTTTTCCAGGTATGAGTAATCACAGTTTTCCTGATTCGACTAGATCACATTACACGTGGAAACACGTATTATGTAACAGAAGGTTACTTGTTTGTTAACTTGCTAAAGATCAGAAGCTGAGGTCAGGCACGTGGAACACGCTGGTTTTGTGAAACCAGACGTATTACATGTGTACGTATGTAGGTATGTATGGATGGATGGATGGATGAATGGATGGATGGATGGATGGATGGATGGATGGGTGGATGGATGGATAGATGGATAGATAGATGGATGGATGGATGGTACATAAGTGTGCACACTTAAAGACATGCATATGTATACTATAGTTCTGCAATGTACCTATTCATGCAGATAAATACCTACTATCACACTTTGAAGAAGTTAGAACTAAGCATAATTTATATATAACAAATTGTTGCGAACGTAATATTAAATTAATAAGAAAATGTATTATAGTAACAGATACTTTAGAGAAACTCACTATACATATTAAAGGTAGATACAACAAAATTTCTTTGATAATAAAAAAAAATAGTTTACTATTTCATTTACCTAAAAGAAAAAAGAAATAGTGACAAAATCCTTGAAATTCGTTTTTATCACATTATTATATTATTATATAACGTAATAATGAAAAATAACTGAAAAATAAATTACATATAAAATGTAATTACATATTACAACATTGATTCTTAATAAGTTTTTCATTAGGAATTTGTTTGATTCATAATTTCTTAAGCAAAATTAACAATTTTTGCTTTTTTAAATGTTGAAGTTAAGTGGAAAAATAAAAACGTAAAATTTATCTGAAGGCAAGTTATTACATCAAACGTAATATATCAAATATAATTCAATGAAACGAATAACAAACACTGTTTCTAGAAAAAAAGATAATTCAACTGTTGTTCAATTATTTTTATAATTGCATAATTTAAACCCTTAGAAAAATTGTTTCTTATTTTTCTTAAGTAAGTAAATAGGCGTACTAAATATACTTAATTATTTTGACAGATACAGATCTTATCATTGGTGCAATATGTGTATTATACGATTCTGTCAATAATAAATATAAATCATGTACCTTTTATGAGAAACAAAAAATATGAAAAAAAGTCTTGTGTGGTTTTAAGTTTGATGTTGGTAGTATTTAAGAAATCTTTTACTTTGATTAATCTTTTGAATGGTTAATAATATTCCATAATAATAATTTTATTTTCCATCCTCATGTTTACAACAAAATTTTTGGAATTATATGAATATTTATTATCTATTATTGCATCTTTTTGTTATTTGTTAATTAAGTATATTTACAAATTTCAATATTTTAATATTTCAATATCGTTTTTCAGAATTATGAAATAACTTTTTCTTATGTTTTAATTATAAAATTAGCTACATTTAACGAATTCTTCAGTTTGTTGAACTTTGAACGTTTCTAATATTTAACAAAGAAAGAAAAAGAAACGTTTACAGCAGATGCTTTCTAACAAGTTTTATCAGTGTAGCTGATCTTGTCAGTCACATGCGATTTTTAAAAAAGAAAGGAAAATGAGCTACTTACGTACTGACGATGAGATGATCTGTACTGACCACATAGTACAAGGACATGGTTCATTCATATGCTAAAAACAGTCTCAACGCTGGCGAATGGATACACTCCCATGATCGGTAATGATTCAATCGCTACGTATGAAAATATACAGCATGTTTATTTTTAGACTTTGCTACATGGTGGGGCAGAGTTATGCAGAATTACAATTCAGTTACCTTATGAATCATAATTACAAAGTGACTCTATGACTCTATTTGATTTACTGCTTTAATTATAATTACAAGGTAATTAAATTACATTGTAATTCGAAATTCACGTAAGGTTTTAAACAGAAAGAAATGATGGTATTACTCGTAAATTTATATCGGAACAGAATAAGTGTCACTGTTATATTTTTCTGAGCTGTAATTTAGTTACATTGTACTTCAATTACATTACAATTCCATCACATTCGTGATTATAGTCATAAGCAATTGAATTAATTGTAAAGCTTGAATTAGTATATAATTAAATTATAGCGTAAATCAGTCAGCACAACAGCGGAATGAGGAACATGAAACATAACAATGATATATCAAAAATAGCGATACTATAAAAAAATGTGAAGTATTTTAAAAAAACAAAACACTTTTCGACTTTAATTTTTTTACACGTGAAGCTATTGCGATCGTTTCAAAGCCATAATCTTTATTTTAAACGAAGTCATATATTGGGGGGGGGGGGGATATCCCATGTAACTTTTTAACACTAATTAATGAGCGATTTTTCGCTCTCTTTCTCTCTCAAAAAAATATGATTTTAGAAAAAGTGTTTTAACTACTCGCAATATGTAAGAGATTACTAGTTCAACAAAAAGATGTAGTAAGTATAAACGGACTATAATCAATCGTTATTGATCATAATAGTGATTGACAATCAAAGATAAATTTTCAGATAATAAAAGAAAAATTCATCCTACTGCATCATTTATTTTCAATACTTTCGATGGTAATATACCATCGTACATTACTTGTTATTAGCTTTTTTGTATGCCTTTTTTTAAATATTTATCTAACAATTTATATTACCTAACAAATAATGTTATA